CCCTGAAATTGCAAATATGGCAGGAAAACGTCACTAATACTATTTATTATTTCTGACTTGACTTGAGGGTGGTGGTTTGGTATATTACATGTTCACTGTAAGTGCATCTAAATATATATGCATTACTTGAGCGGAAAAAAATCTGGTGTTTTCCTTTCGTATTATCTTCTGCATCTGCCCTGTAATTTTCTCATTTCCCCTACTTCCAGAAATGGGTTGTTTTAGCTCTTAGCTACCATGGAGCTGGCTATTGAGATGAAGAAAAAAGCAAATCAGATGCTAGCGAAGAAAGCAAGTTTTTGATTCTGTCTCTAGTTTGTGTCAGTGTGAAATCCTTAACACAAAGAAATGGATCAAGCTTTCAGTGAGAAGGACCACACTGCTGCTTCCAGTGTCAGGGCAGGTCATACCCTGCAGACCCTCTTAGCACCTCCATTGTCAGTGCCTGCATGTGCTTCTGGCAGGACTCTTAAACAGGAACAAAATACAGAGCTTTTCATATCAGTGTCAGAGCAGGGATGTTAATGCCTCATCCAATCTTTTGCTAGAATATCTGCCCTGCAGCATGACAGCACTCCCTGCAGTGAGTCTTTCTTCCCTTTGCAGCTCTTCCATTGAGGCATGATTGCAATATCAGATGCTCAGCATCAATTTCAGAACTTCTGAATTCTCTAGCAATTTAAAGCCCTGAGAAGCTCGATGATACTGGTGTCTTGTAATCCCTCAAAGGGAGTGATCATTATGATCATAGGAGTAAACTTTTCATGGATTGTTAAACCTGTAGTCAGACAAAGGATTACACACAGTGAAAGAAAATTCTTTGGAAATTTCATCTGTTTCATTGCAAGAGCCCCAGAACTCCTGCTACTGTTAATTTTGCAGTTGTTCCTCTGTATAGATTGAATTCATATCAAAGGAACTGCTCTGATGAAGTTTGTTATCCCTCACCTCTGCTTTCCCAAGCGATATCACCAGAAATAAATGGGACAGAGGAAACAGCTATTGTTTTATTGGGTAACATATTTTAAAATTTGGACTTCTTCATGTTGTGTTTTAATGAGTCTAAACAGTATTGAAAACTCTGCTTAGGAAACACCCAGCGAGATCAAAGGATTTTCTTTTTCAAGTAATTGTAATTTATTGATAGAATATTAGAAACTTTGAAAAGCCTGAAATTCAGACTATTTTTAGCACTTTGAATATCTTAAAACAGACACTTTGCCTTCCCATGCTGCTGCTGCTTAAGGACCAGAAGTCTCTTTCATGTCACCTTTTCACTGTATATGGCAAAAACAGAGTTGTTTGAAACCAATGACGTACAGAAACATTTCCCAGCAACAGATGTCACCACATCCAGCACAAACAACCAGCTCAGCAGGGTCATGCAAGAGGGGAGAGTGCTGAAGGATAATTTTTCAAGCCCTATTTTAAAAAAAACACAGCATGTTATTTATAATGCATTGTTTTTAGGTATGTGCCTGCAATGTTTTGCTGGCTATTGCACTGGATACCCAGTTGAAGGAAAATGAGTTTCTCAGTTGCAGATTTTGCAGTTTTTCCTGACACTCCTGTTTACCTGAATGCTCTTGATACACTGCAGTTTTGTCCTCTAAGTTTCCCAGCCTTCTGTGTGACATGTTCCTGTGGCTTTATACCTTCTGTAAGCTTCATGGACTAATATTAGTATGTAATATAAATATAAAATAGGAGCAATATGAAGCTTTGCTGTTTTGTGACTTATTGATTGATATCTTCCTTTTTCTCTTTGAAACACATTGTCAAAAACATCAAGGAGCAAAATTTTTTAACTTCAATATAAGTGTCGCATTCCTTCATATCAAGTCATAAAATAGACACTGGAAAACTTCCAGGTACTTGGGAGAATGGGCCCTTAGAAAATGGGACACTGTCTAGTTTATGAGTCTGCTTTGACTGGAAAGCAGGATGTGTGATCCTTTCAGTTAGAGGGATCCTTGTTACCTGGATTCCTGACTAGAAAGTGCAACTTCTTGGACAACTTCATTTATGCTGGTCCTTCAGGATGGCTTTGTGTCAGCAAGTATTTATGGGGAAAACTGAACATCAGTGAGGGTAACACCAGTGCACTTCTGGAGGTGCCATAAGTTTTGCCAGAAACTGTTTCTGCATCCATCCTGCATGGATGCCTTGTAAGTCTTTTGCCTTTCAGGGAGGTTTAAGGCTGTGCTGCTGAGACAGAGGCTGTACCATGGCAGGGGGACCCACTGCAGGAGAAATTTGATAAACTGAGATCGTCTGCCTGACTCTTGAGTGAACAGAACCACCAATGTTTCCCAAAGGTCAATCCTTTGTTTCATGTTGAACAATGAATTACGACAGTCATGTAACAGCTGGGAGGGAGTTCTGCTGAGTGTGGGGCACTTTGGATACAGGTTATTGGTGGTGAAGGGACTGACACAAAGCAAGCAGGCTTTGATGCAGGGCAGCTCAGTGCAGTCTGAGACAGCTCTTTCTGATGGAGCAAAGAACCTAAGTGCCAAAGATGATCTAAACAATGAGAGGAAGAAAAGGGCTGGTGCTGTCAGACACATACAACTGCTGAGGAGAAAAGCTATCCTGTAATACGAAGTAGAGAGAAATTCAATAAGTTCACTTTGTGTGTCAAAACATATTGCAGAAAAAACTATCTATAGAATGTGGCAGCACAAGGGAATGAATGTAATCACAAAATAGTCAATAAGATAGAGTGGAAATATAAAATAAATGCTGTGTGGAGACAAATGGAGAAATATTGTTAGTGCCAGTAAACAACAGAGTACTTGCTGTCTTTCACAGGTAAAGCATGGAAATATGTTTTGCATTCTCCTGAAGAACTCAGGGTGACTTAAAATGGTGAAGAGATAAATGGATAAAGAAAACAGCTTTGAGTCAAGGTTTCCGCTCTGACTACAGAATAATCTGCAATGGTCTTCTGTTTCAGGAGCTGTAGCTTGAAAAGGTATGATAAAGTCTTACTGGCCACAAAAAAATGGCAGAAAAAGAGCAATGGAAATAAAAGAAGTTCCAGCTGGGAAAGATTTAGAAATAGTCATTAAGCTTCTTGTTGAATCTGAACAAATTTCACAAATTCAGAGAATCTCAAGAAAGAGTATATTTTTATTTTTCATAAAATAAAAAAGTTCAGAGTGTTTCATTTATACAACTATTTTAAACTGTATCTTATTTAAGCATATTCATGTAAACTTCAAATATATTTAAATTTTTAAATAATTTGGTCTTAGATGAAAAAGATGGTCTTTGAAAATTAGAGGAAGGAGAAGTATCAAAGGAACACTGTATTACTGGATTATACAAAGTGTCCCCAGAGAACTGAAGTAATATATATGAAGGGAAGTTATTTCTAGCAACATGTTCCAGGAGCTATTTCAGAATCCACACCTGACTAGGGAGAGTACAACACCAGGGCTGCACTGCTGACCACACGATGGAGATGGTGACATAAAGGCAACAAGTTAAGTGAAATTGCACTGGCTGTGCAGAGAGTTTACACAGTAATGTAAAACTTCATGTGCTCCAACACATACAGCCTTAAATCAGGAAGTGGCAAAAGAAACGAAGATTTACATACCATAAACGACTCCTGCTTGTACCTAAGAATTAGACAACCCACAAGAAGAGAAGCTGATTTAGTTCTGAAGCAGTGCATAGGACACAATTCAAGAAGTAGTTATCAGAGAACCACTTCTGGACTGAAACTCAACATGCTTGTTGAGAAGGAAAAGAAAAAAAAAAATCCACTGCAGTAATATTTAACTTTGAGAGAGCGAGGAAATGAAAATGAAGAAGTTAGATAAAAGAAAAGTAAAAAGAACATCTAAAAAGATATGCATGCAAACAGCATGGAAGCAGCTGGAGGACAAGTGTATGAGAGGCTCAGAATAATCATACAGAACTCATTTCTTTTTTTGTAACTTATAAAAATTAGCTCTCTTATAAGCAAAAAAAAAAAAAATCCAAACCCCAAAGTGAAATTGAAAACAACAGAATGTAGATGATTTTGGAAAGATACCCTTCAAATGTGTAAGTCTTCTCAATGGAGAAAGATGGGAAGAAAAGCATAAAATCTGCCAATTTAAATATAAACCACAGTATTTTGAGAATCAACTTCCTATGGACACAGAAGTTAGAAATTGTTTTTTGTTAAAACCATCATACTAGAAGCAGGAGGCCCAGAGAGCTAACTGGGAAGATAGGCAATTGAGGTATTATTAATACTATGACAAATTAATAATTAATTTAATATTGAATATAAGTTGTTTTCACTGATGTTCACAACAAAGAAAGAGTGATTCTCACCTGCTGAGCAATTTTCTCTAAGTCTGTTAGCATCTGAGGTAAATGGTATTGAACGAGAATTGCTATGAGGAAATGTTGCCCCAAGAAGTATTTTACAGGAACTAACTATTGTAACATATAACCTGCAATTTAAGTCAGTCTTGAGGCCAGAAGAGATGTTTTAACTGTGGTACCTTAGTCTTAAAAAAGGACTCAAGGACTGATCTAGAGAATAACAAAACATAGAAGAGGCACATTTTTATGTTATTGTAAAGAGCCATGTTGTTTTCATGTCTAGAATATCATGTGGAGTTTTAGCCTCCTCACCAAATAAAAAAATGACACCACAGAACCAGAAGAGAAAGCACAGATGATCAGAGATGTGGCATGATTTTATGATAAGATCAGAGAGATCAGGATTTGTCATTTAAAAAAAAGACTGGAGGAGTGGATAAGGTCAAGTCTATGTAATGATAAATGGTGTACCAGATGTAAACAGAGATGCATTATTCTTTGTTCCTTCCTTATCTGAGGAGGTACTGGCTCGACCATAGAAAAATATTTAAGGCAAGAAAAATAAAATACCTTTCACTCATTGTCTCACTAAAATTTGAAAGGTATTGCCATAAGGTATCACTGAGGTCAAGCTTATGTCAGTTGGGTGTCTCTCTCTGTTCAGCAGCCAGCAACCCCAGCAGTCCATCTCAGAAAGCCAGTTTATTTCATGGTAACTAAGAAGATGAAGAAGAAATCCTTCATGCTTCTTCCTGTTTGCCAGAAATTCCTGCAGCTGATGACTGCTGAAGTCAGGATTTGAGGTAAGTGGAGTATTTGTCAGCTCATACAAGGTTATGTTTTCATGATGCTACCATCATCATCATCAACCCCAGGAATGACTACCTATTATTTACAAAATGTTTTGATTTTTGATGAAGCTGTATATTTGCTGAAATTCACTGATGTTGTTTTAACATAAAGTTGATTTAACAAGCTTCAGACACACTTTCAGTAGGTGCTAATTCCACTGTTCTGTCTGGTGCATGCTCAGCTGACTGGGAATGAGGTAAAACTCACAGCAAGCTGAATTTAGCTAAAATCAACCTGGTAAATCTCACCATATTTCCCAAACATAGCTTTCAAGTATTAATTCTGTGAGCCACACTCAGTTTTTATAACAGGCGAAAAAAAGTGAATACTCTTACAAAATGTTTTCCCCTGCTTTTTGGAAGTTCATTTTTCTCTGCTCGGTAAGAATTTTATCATAATTTCATGCCCCCACACTTCATGGTTTGTTACTTGGTCTATTACTCTCACATTTTACTTGATAAGGTCCTGCTTCCTATGATCTTAATTTCTGAGTTTTGATTCTTCACAGCTGCTGCTTTGAAGTCTTAGATAACATTTTGAGCATTGCACATTGCTCCTGGTTTTAAACTTTTCCTTCAGCTGCATACATAGCTCTGTTTCTCTCAAATAACTTTTTCAATAAATTGTTATATCTAATATTTTAAAATGAATGTTTTGCTTTTAATCAGGGCAAAACTGTGGACTTTTTTTAAAGGAAGCTAGTAACTTCTGTCAAAAGGTATCCTCATTTTCTGTCCTTTCTTCAAAGACATTTAAGTCTGTTGCTCAGTTCAGGGGGATTCTGAATCACTGTGTATTTCATATATGTGTGAAAGGGAGAACTGAGGGTCGTAATTGTCTTTGTGCCCTCTCTTTCAGTACCATGTTTTATTTTGGCCCAATCTTGTCCAGAACCAGGAAATAGAGCTGTCAGTACCTTCTTGCTTTGGATAATAGGAAGTGTGCTGGAACAGTACAGCTGTGTGTTGTGGAGTGACTGTTAGCTGGAAACAAGCAGATGTAAAACCTCAGGTTGTGCCCTTGCTTTCTCTCTTCAATACTTGATCTACAAGAGTGCATCTGAATCTGGACTGCAGGTTAACATCAGGGAAACGTTTCCCAACCTTTAGAGCTTTAGTTAGTAATATGAAAAATCTGGCCTGAAGTGTTTTTCCCCCCCATTTTTAAATGGAGAAAAAATGAGCAAGGATCTCACATGTTGAGCTGAGAGTGTCACTAATCTCAAGACAAACAAGGATGTATGAATAGAGAGCTGAGGGCACCATGGCTGGAGCAGTACTGCAGTTATTCCCACTGTTTTCTCTTATCTGTGTGTATTTTTTATGTGAAGAGTCCTAATTTTTTCATTCCTTAGCCCTTTCTGTGCAGTGTCCAGGGATGTGTCTATGGATATAAACACGTGGTTCTCCTGGAAGTTATCTACAACCACGTGAGAGCACAGATAATGTATACTTAAAATTAGCACTTACAAATTGACACCTTGTCCAGTTACACACACCGAGTCAGAAAGAAATGACAAACCTTTGCAAACATTAATCTTCCTTCAGAGTCATGATATGGGGCAGAATTGTAACAATGAAATATCCTTATTATACAAAACTACTTACAGATATTAGCAGTGCCCTTAGGTATAGGCAGATAAGAACCAGCGCTCCATGGTCGGCCCTGATAATTCTTCTTGCATTTTCCACAGTCTGGGCCCGTTGTGTTATGCTCACATTCACAAAGTAGTCTTTTGTTTTCTTCTTTACAGCCAGTAGCATGAAGGTTGCACTTACACCTAATTTTAAAAGGCAAAAATAAAACAAAGTGGGATATTATTTAGAGGTGAGGTGAGGTGAGTTTAAGCTCAAGTTTTAGAAAAGCATGTCCTACGGCAACAGCTCGATTTCTGTGCTGTCCCTCTGCTATTGTTCTACCATGAAAGCATGACATCACAAAGCATCGCTGCAAAGAGCAAGCTGCAGATCGTCAGCTCACACAGGTGTAAAGGCAGAAATGTCACTAAGATTCCAAGATGCTGAATCTTGTTTTCACTAATGCAGCACCACTGAGAACAAATAAGTTATTAATTTTTTTTTTTTTTTACAGATAGATCTCGCAAAAATTCAAGAGTTACTATTTCCAGGAACAAAACAAGTCCTCTGCTTATGTCCTTACAGAATTTGGTCCAAATTACACCCTGGAAGCCTGAGAAAACAGACTTAATTTATATATCCTCTGCAATACCACACTTCAATAGAAGGAAAGCTCACTATAATGGTGTCTTGCCATTCTTGTTCAGCAAGTACTGTCTTGTTCAGAAAGGAAATTTATTTTCCTGCTTTAATTTAATATAGCTGTAGTAGCTGAAGGTCAGGCAAATTATTTTGGTAGGCACATTTAGTTTTACTTGGGGAAGAAACCTAATCAAGCCTTGTGACAAAATCATTAGATAAACCAGATTCTGCATCTGGTCTTAAAACAATTGTATTTTCCTTAAATTCCCCTCTTTTCCTGAAACTAGGACACTTGCAGAATGGGAGTTAGTTTCATAAACAGTAAGGTATTTTCACCTCTTTCCATCCCTTTCCAACAGATGTCAAAACCAGCTAAAATCTATTTCTGTTTGGGGCTGGAGAGAAAACCAGTATTTAATGACCTTTCCTGTTTGTTTTCCTAATGACCATACATCTAGTAATTTGCAGGGTTCTCATGTGGGCATTTGTCACCTGCTCCATACAGTGACCAATAATTAGAGCAGAACAACATGTGGAATGGCCAAGTGCAAATTAACAGCTGTCAAGCTGACTTCCATTTGGAAGGAATATGACCTGAAGCAATTGGCCACATACATATATGTCCCCAGGGTAAAACAAGCTTGCAGTTGTCATAAGGAGCTGCTGGAGAAAATCCACAAGAATATGTAATGCAGTAGATGGTGGAGCATTCTCCTTTGTGCTAGAAATGAATGAAACTGCTGTTATTTGAGCAATGCTCATTCTAAAGAGAAACAGGTTCAGCACTTTTAAAATTGAAATGACCAGAATGTATTCAATATGCTGGACAAGAGAAAGAGAATAATTTTTACACAGTTTACAAAATATGTGTGCTTGAAGACTAAATCAATTGTGAATTTTCAGTGAGTTGCCATAGCAGAAGGAAAGATGCTTGTCTGGGCATCAGTGAATGACATCCATCTATTCACTAGACACTGAACCTTTTGGTAAAGGGTACTGCTATTAAAAAAAGCCATGGGTTGTTTTACTGTCCACAGGAGTATGAAAATGGAACATTCCAAACAGGAGAGATATACAGTAAGAACAAGACCAAAAAATAGAGGAGAAAAGCAGGAGTGACTGTCAAGTAACTAGAACAAATTAGAGAGAGGAAAGGACTGGATTTCTTTGCTCAGGAGCAGATTTCTGTTTTATTGTAGGGACTCAGTGTCAGACGCAGCAAACTGATCCAGACAAGAGGAAAAAAGTGGTTGATTCTGAGGAAAAGCTGTAGTACCTAGTGCTCTGAAAGGGTGCTGCAGATTTGTACAGGAACTGAGGTGGGGGAAGATAAAGGTATGTCCGTCTGCTAATTGGAGTAAATATTCACAGCTCTTTTAACAAGCACCTGAAAATAAAGAATAGTTGTGTCACAAAATCTTGTGCAAAATCTCTTTGCACTTCTTAGATGCTGTGCTTGTCAGATGTTCCTGAAGAGAGACTGACCCTTCCTTAGTTTTGCATGCATGGGTAAAAGTCTTGGATAGACTCGACTTCTCCATCCTCCTCTGCTTCTATGCAGTCCTGTGCCCTGCCTCTTCACATACATATGCAAAATATATGCATGTATTTATATATCTGGATATATACATGCATACACAAATAACTCCCATAGAGCCTCACCATTTCCTTTTACTGCCCACTTGCCCTAATCCCCCTGTGTCCCACCTCTTTAGAGGCTGCCTCCTCCTTTCCCTGATTTCCCAGGCGAGAGAGCATGGGCAGCCCAGCTCTGCTGCCTGCCCTGGTGCCCGTTGTTTGAACTCCTTAGGGCAAGATGCTGCAGAGGAAGTGATTCTCAGCCCAAGGTGCAGCACCCACACCAACACCAGGCAGCTGTTCTGGGGTCCTGCACAAGGCATGCTGTGTGACTGCAGCCACCAAGCCCCACAGACAGAGACAGCGAGACATCCTGCAGGGCTATCTTTGTACCAGGTACAGGCAGCTTTCCACAAAAACAGCAAAATGCATTTTCTTCTAGAAGTAGCTGGCAACCTCCTGTCAAATTTTAAAACCCTATCAACTGAGATTTAAAACCTACAGCCTCTATATAGGCATTCAGACTAAACACACACAAAATAAAGTAGGGACATTTTAGCCACCTAGCTTTGTAAGTGGAAGAATTGCTAAATAGCTTTTCTCGTCCTAAACCAGTGGAATAATCAAAGATTCATTCAATCAATGCCTTTATGCAAATCAACTTATTTATATGCTTTATATGTATTTTTGAAAGCTTTCCCAGCAGAATTACCCAGAATGTTGCATCCCATCTTAAAAGAAAATACCAAGTAATAATAAAAAACTGAAAAAAAAAACCAACCTCAACCCAAACCCCCCAAAGCATGCCCCCCCAAAAATAAACAAAAAGGAAAAAAAAAGCTATGTGGGGAAAGCAGCGAGCAGTGAGTAGTGTAGCCTTCTAGGAGTATGATATAAAGAGAATAACAGGAACAATAAGTTCAACCACTCAAAAAAAAAAAAGGACTAATCTAAAACTTTTGCAGGCCCAAATCTAACATTAATAACTGAGCAAAAAAAGAGCCAACCATGGTGAATTTCCAAACAATCCTCAGAAAACTTCAAACAGCTGTGTACACTTTCTAATGAGAAGAAAATAATGAACAAATGTGGTCACTCAGTTTTACTTCAAGACTAGCTAAAATTAAGATTAAAAGTACATTCATATTAAAAATGTAAAATCTGACTTAATAATAGTTAGTTATACTAGGCACAAAATTAAATATTTAAAACCCCCCCTAAACCCAAACCACAAAAGATCACATAATGTGTGGTAAAAACTCTGCCTACTTAGTGTATAGGCAACAGAAAAGTTGGGTTTGGCTCACGATTATTTTCATACAAGTATGAAAAAATCTGCAGATTAATAAAATCTGAAGTGATTGAACTGATTGTCTTGTTAGTGTCAGCAACTATATATAAGGAGTAAAAGAGTGGAAGGGTAAGTAAAAGATGATGTTCAGAAGACTGAACCAGAGGCTCTGATTCTCTTCTTGCACCATTTTTTTTGTGGAAGCCACTTGACAGATCTTGAAGAGAGTGATCATGATTTCCACTGCAAATCAAGAATGTAGCTGAACAGTGAATGTGTGCAAAATGCAGGCAGTGCTAAAACTGAAAGAGAACAAGAAGCATCTGTAGAAAGCAAACTGGAGGGTACCATGTCTGGGGAAAACCAGGCCAGTATCAAAATCTGTGGTGTATGTGGAGACAGAAACAGGGAAATAATATTTCCTATGCTTTTGGTTTTTTATGAAGGGTGCACTAGGAATTGGGCAATCTGTCCCAGGGACCTCATCAGAATGTACACATGCACAGTCTCAGAGACTTCTGCAGAGAAATGTGTGTTGTGCTTGAGGGACAGACTTCTCTGGATGACTGAGAGAGGTAAATGAGTGTAACGGGGCTGAGAGATGACTAGAGTACAATAAAAAAGCTGCTTCTATTTGCAGAATAGGCACTAAGGAAAACAAATATTTAGGGTTACAGAAAGAGGGCTATTTTGGTAAAAGTAGCACCCAGACAGACCATGAGAGAATCACTCTGATGAGATACTTGGATTGTCAGTGGTGTGGAAACAAAGCAGCACAGTCTGGACCTTAGGAATTCCAGCTGTCAATCAGCTGAGCACCACTGATCTGGGAGCAGACTTGGGCTCCCAGCAGATCACTCAAGATGTGCAATCAGCTTCCTATGGAGGATAACCAAATTCATCTCTTTCTTATGGAAGATTACCTTTCTTTTCTACTCCAGGGAGAAGGAAGGATTTTGTTATCTTATACGAATATCCATGGTGATAAATTATTACTGAAAATCCTAGGTACCATTTGTAATTTCATTAGCCACTTGCTTTGAAGGCTGTTACTGCTGTCAATCTAAAATAGTAGCAAAAGGTTTAATTACATACAAAACACATTTAACACAACAATCCCTGTGTTGATGCTTCCATTGGCAGAATGTGATTGTCTGGCCTGCTTGTATAAGAATGGAGAAGGTCTGAAAACCTAAAAAACTGATTTCACCTCCAGTGTACTTAGTTCCATATGACAGTATTCCATGCCCATTTAGAAATCCAAAGAAGAAAGTCCAAGTCCTGTAGAGGGTATGATGTACATACACCCAGAAAGGCAATTACTGGGTAGCAGTGGGTGGGTAGCAGCTGCAGGCACACCAAGTGGGTTTGCCTGCACACAGAAGGGGATGACAGAGGGAGCTCTAATCAGTACAGTAGGTTTGAGAGCACAGGTTAAGGTCTAGAAAACAGAAGAGGGTCTGTGCTGCAGCCTCTGCACTGCACTGACTAACAGCTTAAGGGCAAAATCTCATGTAAGGACACAGCAAATGTTAAGGGCAAAGTGCAGTTCTGAGATACAGTACATGCTCACTGTAAATGGCACTGCTGAGGTCTAATGCTTGTATGACTTTAAAGAGAATGACTGAAGTCCATGATTATAAATATCAACAACTCCATGGACAATTAGGTCACGTATAGAGAGATGTAGGCCTTGAAATGGCTTTCTACCTGAAGGGAAAAGCTGTCTGCCATTTATATCTGGTGACAGTTTTTGCAGACTTTTTTATTATTGCTCCTGGTGGGGCAGATCTGTCAGTGCTGAGCTTGTGGAAGTGAATGCCACAGCCCCACAAAACTTGTCTGCATTTGGAAACTTCCACCCTGATGTTTCTGCAGCACAGTGGATATCCATCTTCCCAGTTCAACCTGCTAAGCAGCCTGGTTATAGCACACGCAAGAACACATTTCCCTCAACGTGCAAATTCAATTTTGAATCACTGGAGATTGATATTGCTGTCCGATGCTATAAACCCTAATTGTGTGGGAGAACAAATTTGTTTTTCTGACCACTCATCTCTGACAGACTCATTATTTTGTCATAAAGCAATTGAAATGATATTTTTGGCAGTTACATAAGGCACAGGAGCGCTGTGGCGCACTGACGGAGCAGTGCTGTTGTGGTGGGAGCCCTGGGTGTGCTGTGCTCCTCACAGACTCTATTTACATACAGGCAAGTGACATTAAAATGCTGTAAATATCACTAAGGTAATTGCTAATAGCGTGCTGACGCTCCCACAGGGGAGTGCCAACCAACAGACTGGGGGCACGTGAGGGGATCCTTGATGTTCAAGAGATCATTCACGAGAAAGACAGACAAGAGGAGCTCTTTGATACATTTTTAACGACTAGCCATATGTTCCTCACTTAGATACATCTTTGAATCATTCTAGGTCATTGCCAAAGTTTAGAAAATTAACTTGAAACCAACTTGGAAGCCTTCTGCACAGACTCTTCCCTTCTGCACGCCATGAGTCGGCTCCCTGCTCCCAGGTAAGCCAAGCCTGAGCTTGCAGAGGAGTTGGTGTGTTTGCTCTTCACATTACTGCCCACACAATGAAAAATACCATCCCCACATAGTTTTAATTAGGCATTTTAAAACACTGTTGGCAATGCTAGGAGCCTTAGTCAGCTCCCCAGTGCTAGCAACTACTTCCAGCACCTTGTTACAGTTGTCCTAAAGGACTTGGCCGTGTTTATCATGGCATCAAACGTGTTGAGGCTGTCATCTACATTATGCCTCTCAAGCTTACTAATGACCTTGAGGCAGCTTCCCCAGTGAGGTTTAGGTGTCTAATGTAATGTAGACAGAGGAAAATTCCACATTACAAATACATTTGAAGTGATACCCCAGCCAGGAAGGAGGATGAGATGTAAATTGAGAAAGCAAAAGTCAAAATATACCATGAAATCTTTGTCACTGAATCATTATTTTTCAGATTTAATTTTTAAAAATTTTTTACTCTTTATCAGACAGATTCATCATAACTTGAAAAACTGTATGTACAGGTAAGTTACAAACCACTTGCACTGTTTGTGCAAGTGTACAAGGTAAACATCATTACTTAGGAATGTCTGGTTATCCTTTAATTTTGTCTACTAAGTGAACATATTTTCATTGAGGCTCAGAGTCTCAGAAACATCATGTTGGCTGAACAATATTATTCATTATATTGTAAGATTTTTCCATGTCATGTCAAAACCCCAAAGTATGCTGATCCTTACTGTAGTTTTCTAAGCTTAATAGATTTTGTGGGGATAAAAATAAGTATAAAGGATACTGTTGTGAAGAAATAAAATGACTGCTGGCAAGTTTATTTCTGTGGGGATGCAGCATCAAAATGGTAACAAGATAATTACTGCAGTCTTGGCTACCAATGCTCACTGTAAGGACTGACCCATCTGAAGTTTTTAGCTAAAAGGGTCAAAACCACCTCAGGACAGTTGACACTCAGAAAATGGCATGGCTTGCTGGCTGCAAGTAGGTCTGCTGAACAAATGTTCTGGCTCACATGAAGCAAAAAAAGTAACTTCTCTTTTCTATTAATATTTTTTTAGTCATATAAGTATCTTAGGTCCACAATGATGTATGGAATCTAAATGCAAAGAGGGCACTGCGTCTTTTTCTGGACATCGGGAATAAGACCCCTGTGGTCTGATGGTTAAATGTAGCCACCATAGTGAGAGTAATGACATGTGAGTCCTTTTTTTCACTTGTTTATTTCTGGAAATGCATTTGGTCGCCAGTTTTTTCCCCTGTCCTTTTCCCTGAATTTATCTAATACATCATAATATCTCACTGAAAAAAAATTCCTTTGTGGAATAGGGCTACATCAATAATAAGGGATAAACAAATTCAATAATAACAAATATAACTTTGTATAGGTAGATACATTATTCTTTCATTTGCAAAGCAAGGACTAATGGTGGATCAGGTTTTTAAGCTTCTTAAATCTGTAAGGAGCTTTGTGGTTAGAAAAGAAGTTTAACCTGTGCTCAGTAATCCTGCTGCACCTTAGTACCTTAGAATCCAGAGATTTACAGAAGCCTCTTCAACTTTATTCTTTACTGTTTCGTTTTCACTGCTAAATTTGGGAGGAAATTGAATTAGATTCCCACAGGCAGTATGGAAAATTGGGGAAAATAGCTTCTTATTCTCCCTCAGCTGAATATAATGTATCTGGTGGGGAACAGCAAAACCAAGGCACAGAGAGCATGTTTGCTTTGCTTTCTCAGTGGCCTACTTCCAAGTAGTTTGGAGAGCTTGAAATTAAAAAAGAAAACAAAGTCCAAAAGGGCAGCATAATTTCCTTTCCCTCAGTCCCAAGGCTCACAGAAAGCTTGCAGGGCATGGAATTGCCCACTGTTTACACTAAGCCAATCCAATAATAAGAGTATGCAAGCGCTAAATTTAAACATTAATAACATTTATTGTGTTCATATGCTAGTAAGCATTTCTATATACTGTCAGGTAAATGCTGGCAATACAAACAACTACAGCATCACTGCTGATCAATTTATATCTCAACCTGTATTTGATTAAGATTGATTATTGTCTGATAGATGCATATTATCTTCCTTTTGAAGCAAAACATTGAGGCAGGTCCTTCTGGCTTGGCTTCTCCTTTGCCCCTGTCTCTTTCAGACAGAGGGCCACAAGCTACCATACCTTGCCAAATAAACTATAAATGTTTCTGAAATGCAGTAGGTTACCACATGACAGCCTTCCAGACAAACTGCACGCATCACAAACCCAGAAAGGAGGAGGCAGTAACCTGAGCAAATGCCTCAGTAGTTAAGCATTTATAACTGTTCTGATTTTGTGACTGCATAAAAGAGTGTCACAGACTAACAGATATTCTGACTTGAGAAAATATTCAGACTTTCTTCAGTTTCCTAGATCCAAAGTCTAAAAGTAATCCACCGATGCATATGTCTAATAGAACAGAATACCTAATTGAGTCCAAGTTATTCCAGTTTACCACATTAAAAAATACCTATCCTTAAACACTTCTATAAACTTAGCCAAGTGGAGTGGACACATACTTTTTCTAACTTTGATTCTACATTCTCTAAGTGTTAAGTTTTTCTAACTTTGATTCTACATTCTCTAAGTGTTAAGAAATAAATATCTGACTATATAGCCGCTGTTAGCTGCTGTAGAAAACTAACTTCCATTCCCTTCCTAAACATCCATTTTTGGATTTTCTTCAGAGGTATTAGTTTTTATGGAAATGTGTCAATAAAGAAAGTGATTATAAAATCTGCTAGAGTTTGCCAGCAGCGTGTTCTGCAAATACTTTCACTCGTGAACACACTTTGTCAGATTCTTAGCTGAAGTAAATCCATCTGGCTCCTGTAAATTCAATGAATTTATGTTAGTTCACACTGCCTGAAATGAAGCCTAATTTGTTTCCAGCTTTCATTCATATTATCCTAAGCTTGGTGGCTGTATTTTTAGGTAGCGACAGATAATCTTTTTATAATTTTCAGTGGCAGGTCCAAGGCCTTGAATAATCATGGGATGGAAACTGGGAATCAGTGGAGGATAAGAAGCCCAGATGTGATGTGCTTAGGGACAGGACTGCCGTCAAGGCAGGATCCCAGTATTCCACATTGTTTCCATGCGCCTGTTTTGCTCTCATCTTTAACCTCAGAAATAGGAAGCTTTTCTTACCTACATGAAGGATGCTGACAAACGTCATGTCTCTACCAGAAAAGAAGCAAAACCTCTTGTGAAGATGAAGATCAAGGTCAAGAATGACAGTTCCTTCCAGTGCTACCAACTGGTCATTTAAACTAGTGATTGTTTTGGTAGGTTCCCAGACTACCAATGAAGAACTGAGAAAAAGTAGCTGATGTAAACTTTAAGTACATCAGTGTTACAAGTAGTTTTGCTTTTTCTTTCCCTCTCACTTGAGAATTTTTTTCTTTCTCACCAGAATTCTTTTGGTCTCACCTACTAAATTGCTGTACTTCACACAGCAATCAATGTCTTGACACAGAGAGGGCAGAGGGGGAAGCAGGTGTTGCAGAGGTACTACAGAGCCCAGGTGTTCTGAGTTGCCATGATGTATCTTCTGTTTTAATTGGTTTGCTCTAAATATAAAGAAAAACTAGGAGATGGTAGAAACTTGAATATCCTCAGCTCCCCATAGTGTTACATATCAGAGTAGCAAGGTGTATTGAGACAAGAACACATCTCTCTCCACCCACCAGCTGGAATAACACAGTCTGCTTGGCAGTACCCTGCCATTGTCTGTCTGATAGTGCAAAGAAGTTAGGGTGCACGTTATCTGAGATTTGACAACTACTCCTTGCCATCAGGATATTAAAAAAGAAAAGCTTTTGGTATTTAAAAGTTTTTGGTGCTGTCCAATGTCCTTCTTACCCATTCTTAGTTTGCCATCCATCATTTGGCAGTTATCATTATCAGCAAGTCAACAAACATGGAAAGACACCTGAAAACCGCCTTCTATCTTAATCACAACAATACCACCAGGCAGGATTTAACCACTGTATTGCAGCAGTTGTTAAAGCGCCTGTAGATCTAAGAATGTGGTACACAAATCTTGCATGAAAGGTGCAGCAATATATCACTGCAAAGTTTTATAGCTTACAATTTTAAAAGGAGAAGTTAAGAAATCCTTAGGAGTCATTTTTCCTTCTCTTTTCTCCTGATACAGATCTGAACACTGGATTTGAAACTCCCGGCATTGTGCTAATGTGCATCACCACTTTGAAGTTTATTGAGAAATCAATTTTTCTGGGTTTAGTTTAATTAATAAGTACCAGTCTTACATCTGCTCAGAAGCTCTCCCAAGAAAGCTGCTCTAAGACTCCAGTGATTACGCCAAGCTTCCTGTCTTTATTTGTAAGTAGTATTTCACAGCATCAGCTGCCAGCTGGTCCGAAATTCTTTTTCCCAGCACAACACTGAAAAGGAACAATTTGTTGTGTGGGAGGTCTAAAATTGTGGCCATTAAATTACCATCCAAGTGGACATGGTTTACAAATCCCATTCAAAAATGTCATTTAGCTGTCTGCAGTGGGAGAAATTTTATTCTTGCATGCAGCAATACCCGAAGTGAGCTGTTAGGAATTTGTATCCATGACTGATGCAGGACAGACCTGGCTGAAGCAGAAATATCTGTAGTAGCTTAGAAAAAGACTTAGGGCATAGCACCTATTGTATCACAGTAGGGAATATTTATTGTCAAGACAGCAGTGTTTCTGCTACATGAGAAACAAGCAAGGTTAATTTCATACTGATTTTGGTAACCTTTGGGGGACTATAACTGAGAAAAGCAGCATAAAGATATCCATGGTGCACACAGAATTCAACACCAGGGAAACCAGCTCTGTGAAGCCATACATCTGCTGCTCTTCTTAAAAGGTTTTAAAGCATTTCTGTTTAAGAGACCTCCCAAAAATACTCATTTAAAAGCTCAAATGTGTCCCCAGTAGTCACTGCTGTGGATGATACACAGGGAAGACTGGGGTATGGGCTGGAACTGGCTGCCTCCAAGGGAGAGAAAATACACCTTGTGCTGCTCTGAGCAGTGCTCCTGGAGGGGCAGGGGGTGTCCAGGGCTCACTGCTGTCCTTGCTGGTGGAACCTCTGCACCCCAGGCAGCTGCAGAGCTGGGAGGGCAGGATCCCTGCATGTAGGCACAGAAGGGGTGCAGAACAGCCCACCCTCTCCACACTGGCTTTTGACACCAGGGATCACCTGAAAAAGTGAGACCTCTGATAGCTTAAATGCAATGAATAGCCAGGTCCTGCTCCTACTGCAGTCAGTAACAGGAAAGGTTTCCCTGTGGGTGCTGGTATCAGGATTCAGTGAGGAACCTTCTCCCCTGCTCATTCTCTGATAGGCATCTGTTGTGACCAGCTCTGCTTTAAATTCCCTCTGGTTATGCTTGTGTCTGTAGGTGAGGGGATTTTACAAATCAAAAAGTCCTGAGGAAATTTTCACCTCCTTTCCAAATAAACACAAAGACCAGGGAAAAATTTGTTTCCAAGAAGATGAGTTGTATTAAGAAAAAAGCAAACTAGCCCTGCCAGAGGTGCTGCTTCAACCCCAGTGACAGGAGCCATGCAGGACGTGCATATGGAGCTGGAGCAAGGGGAAGGAGCCAGCAGAAAAGCTTCAGGCAGGTCATCAGGAGACCCACTTACTTCTCTTTGAAAAGAGCCAGGAAGAAGTCAGACTTTTATCCAAAGATAAAAGGTCTATTGAACATATCCCCTTTTTTTGCTACGTGTGTTGGCCACCTTTACTTTAGGTGAACCACCAATACACACAACCCACAATAAAGCATACAAAAAAGAAAGGCTAAGTTCTTTCCAGTTAAGTTTTGTTAATGGTTACATATGACCTAACAGTCCTTGAAAAGCCCAGGCTGTAAGTACTTTCAACAGAAAAAAATCAGATTTCCTTTTGTTTTTGTTGTTGTTGTTGTTGTTTTATAGGAGGTGTGTTGGGGAAAGATTAAAAAAATATTGATAAAAGCACTTTTATTTTCAATATCACCATGAAATGTCTGGACACTGTTTGGACATTTAGAAAAACTGCTGGGGTAAGTGAAGGCATAAACAGAAATCTAATTCAGGCAATTGTCTTTTACACTTTTGAGAATCCAGACATGAAAACTTTTGGCATGAGATTTAGTGGCCTGTCCTCTTACTGGATATTTTAAAATGATAAATATCTAAAATATTTTTGAATTGTACAGACTAATGCTTGATTCTGAAAACCACCTTAACATTTTTCTTTTCAGGCTCATTTCTACCTTGACCTCATCTGCATAGAAGCCACTGCCTGATGTTCAGTGCTGTAACCACTCTGAAAGGCACCTTTTTACCCAGGTAAACTGAGTCCTGCTGTTCTGCTGGTTGTTGCTGATGTTACCTCCAGGTGCTGCTGAATCAGTCCTTGGTGCCCTCTGCAGCCCAGCCCTGGCAGCCGCGGCTGGGTGCAGCATGAGTGCCAGGTGCTTACATGAGGGCATGTTAATTGATCTCTTTTTGAAAAACCACATCACTGAACTTCAGCTTTAAGGAGAATTATAAGGCAGCTCTGTTCTCTTCTGGACTGTATTCCAGGGTATTCATGATTAAACCAGCAAAGCCGAGAGTGCTTAATGACTTGTTCAGAGTAAGGGAAGTTGAGTAAAGATTTCAAATCTAGTTTTCTCTTGGTGTTTTCTTGTGTTTCATTAGGGTTGACTTTTAAAATGCTTAGGCCTCACACCTCCACCTAAAGTAACTGGGAATTGGTAGCTGCTTATTATCAAAGCTGACACTCCCAATCCACTTTAAAATACATTGAGCTTTTACAGTTCCTCTTTTTGCCTTTTTTTTTCTTTTGGTTTTTCATCTTGATTGGAGTCATAACTTGAAAGAGAAATGTGTAAAAACAAAACAACATTTCTCAGTGTTTATCATGTTAGCCTCAATTTTTTTAACTTCTAAATTCCATACAATATAAGCTCCTTGTCACGGAATAATTCCCTCTGGAATGATTATGATACAAATTATTGGCCACTAGTGCCATTCCAAGTAATTGATTTTTTCAGCTCACTGACTGAACTGAAAAAAAAAAGCTGAGGGGAAAAAGTCATTTGTGTCAAATGAAATATATAGTTTTACTTTCAGATTTTAAACTGCATTTTACAATATTTTGGACAATTTTAAAGAAAAAATATTTCCAAAGGAAAAATTGTACCACTTTTGAGTTTTTAGAAAAATTAGTCAAAAAGTATTTACTAAAGTGGGTTGAATTCTAAAGATACTTTCAGCCATCCTGGACAGAAATTTCTTCTGTGAATAATTTATACTTCAAAAATATGAATCCTTTCTCTTGCTGAAGAAAACTCAATGAAAAGCAAGCTGCTGAAGTATGCCAAAAGCAACTAGCATCCTACAGCTAACTTAAGATACTGAAAAAGAGATGCTGGGTCACCCTATTTCTAGCCCTGCTGGTTATAACAACACAACAAACACAATGCTTTATGTTAGGAGTAACTTTAAACAGTTTAGGAAATAAAGTCCTAAGTGTATCTTTTTAATTTGGGAAAACAATTCTTTCATCTAATATACTTCAATTATTGATTTGTGTAGGGAAAGCTTGTTTTCTTTCTCAGAAATACCATATGATAGTACTTTTCAATTATAGACACTATTTATTGTTATCTTGAAGCCAATAAACTGGCTAGAACTGCAAATGTTTTATTATGTTGTATTAAAGTCAGAAGAATTATACAAAGATGGGAAAATACTTTTTAGTATTAGAATGCTTGAGATAGGTGATAAATGGTCCCATTTTCACTTGCTTTTTAGCAAAGAAAAATTTAAGGGGAATAATTTAAGTGCATAATCACAGAACTCTGTGAGTTGGCAGGGACCCACAAGGTGATCCCTAGATGGTCTCTGGGTGTGATTCCATTGGCTGACGTGGATTTCTCAGAGCTGGGTGGCCAGAGCCGGGCAGTCCTGGCCAGACGCAGCTGGAAAGGAGCTCTGAGACCTCAGATAGTGAAAGGCAGAGGGGACCTGGCTTCTGGCACTGGCCTTGGAGCAGTGGGTGATGTGTAGACATGAGCAGGTGACACGTGGACATGAATGAGTGACATGTGTGGACACAAGCAGATGACACGTGTGGACCATGAGCAGGTGACACGTGTGGACATGAGTAGGTGATGTATGGACACAAGCAGGTGACATGTGCAGACATGAGCAGGTGACATGTGGACTTGAATGGGTGACACGTGCGGACACGAGCAGGTGACACGTGTGGACATGAGCAGGTGATATGTAACGTGTAGACACGAGCAGGTGATGTGTGGACACGAGCAGGTGACACGTGGACATGCATCAGGCCTGCCCATCCACCAATGCTGTTTTCACCCCAGTGCCAAAATAGCTCTGCCCTTGGGTTTGGTAGTTGTCCAAGCCACAAACTTATGTGACATGGGACAAGAGACTTCGTGTATGTCACTGTGAAAAGGGGTTGCTGACACTGCTTTGGGAAGCTGAAGTGACAAAGGGCTGGTAGTTTTAAAGCCTTGTATTTTAAAGTCTTAAAATTCTGACCTCATGTCAGATGAGAATAAAATAGGGATTGCTTTTGGCCTTCAAGTGCTCTGGAACATTTATTATTCATGTTTGTTTTTAACAAATACTGGGTAAATCAAAGAATGTTCACACAGACACTGCAGTGTCCACTGAGAGGCTGGGAACGTGTTTTTGTTGTCTGTGAAAACAGACATGCTGGGGGGTCAAATTTGATCCAGTGACTATAATATTCCATGTACCAGAAGAAATAAACAACTTCATTTATATTTTAAATGTTTCAAATCAATACTTCCCTTCATATTCTGTGACCCCCGCCAGGAAACTCTTATAACTGAAAATTTAAAGAATAGATTTTAACTTATGAATAATGTAAGGCTGTCACAGGGGAAAGCAACAGTGAAATACTGCTGACAGAAACAATCAGTACATGTTTATACTGAAGAACAAACCTTAGCAATTCCATCTTGCATAACACAGCTTTTAAAATCCTATACAAACTTTTCAGTTTTCCCTGAAATGTCAAGCAGTCTTCCTCAGCCTTAAACTCCACTGGAAAATACACAAGCTGTTTCTCAAAGACTGAGCTAATCTGGAAGTAAAATATATGCATATATAGAATAAATAGCTCTATGAAAAATAATAGAGAACTAATAGATGCAGGTAAAGAAAGAGCTTCGATTTGAAAAAAAACCCCAAAGTCCTTAATACAGGGAGGTCTAGCAGTATCCACTTCTCAAGTAGCAGGTTATTACCAGGAATAGATCTAGAAAGATAGGACAGGATCCATTTTGGGGCACAGACACTCAGATGGTGAACCAGAGCTTCCTTGCAGTAAAGCATTCTTCAGGGCATAAGTGTGCTGTTTGAGTCTTGTTTGCACACTGACAGAGAGTTGCCATCCACTGAAAATAAGAAGAGGTATTTGTCCTGATGAGTAGGAAGAGCCACAGTGCCCTGAGAGAACCCTTATAAAAATGCTTGTATGACACATAACGTTATTGTTAATGAATTTGGGCATAATTATCACAAACTCCCTGAATTATGCAAATAAAAAAATCAAGAAGAAAAACATAATGGCCACTTCATTAGAAAATATTTTTCTAAGTAACACTTCTGGGGATGAAGGAGTTATTGTTTGTCTGATGTGTTTATAGCTGTGTTCTCTCTCTCAGACAATGAGGGCTGCAGAGGGGAAGGAGGGAGGCAGCTCACTGGAATTTAGGATGGTGCCCACAGCAGTCATGCCCTCCTTTCCCACCACTGCTGTTCATTGTTGTTCCCCATCTATTCTCATGCCTGCTCAGCATTTTCTCCTGTTGACCTACACAAGCCAGGAGGGGGAAGCAGTATGCAGGACTCAGAAGTGTCCCCAAATCTTGTTAAAGCAGTTCTCTGCTTGCAAACTGGGCAAAAAACATCAGGAGAGAAAAAGGGCAGCACTTGTAGATTTTCTGGTATACACAGATTTATCATGATAAATAGCAGATTGACTGAGCCAAATGACTTAGTGGCCATATAATCATATCACAAAGGGGACAAGCTTCTGGCATCTGTTCTTCTAACAGAAGTTGAATGTAGCTTGTTTTTTTTTTTTTTTGAGAATCCAATATTTCTATTACTGTTCTTTTTTTTCTCCCTTATGCAAATCACTCCTGTATTTTGTCTCAGTTTTACCCCTTCATAATATTCTCAGGGTTTTCAGATGCTGACCTACTTGTGAAGGTAAAGAACTCTATAAAATAAGAAAAAAAGTGTTAGTCTGTAACAGGTTTCTCTTGAAAGGCAAGCATTGCAGAATGGGAACTCTGAGAACACCTCTTACAAAACAGCTGCCCCCTCTCAGTCTTACCAGCCCCTGCTCCCATGGCTGCAGGGCAGGACAAGTGCCCTGCTCTCCCCTACACCTCTGGGCAATTATTTATCTTTTCGTGCTTGACTAATGTAGTTATAGCAGCTGTTTCTGTGGGTTTTCTTTTTTAAATGTGCTAAGTTTATGATGATATAAAAAGTACACATTTTATGTGTTAGGAATTAGGGGGAAGCTGCTGCATGCAGGACATCAAGAGTGGACTTTGCGGTGTATTAACTGTGTTTGCATTGCAGCAGTATTTACACAACTGTATAAAAGATATCTCTCCTGTTTGGGAGAGAGATACTCTCTCCACTCAGCCCATTTTAAATTGCTGAATCTTTTTCAGTGACAGTAAGCTCTTTTTTTTTGTGGTCTAATATGTGCAAGAGATTTTTCAAAAGCCCTGGTATAATAAAACACAGTCAAAATTTCCAAAATCTCCAATTTTTTCCAAGAGTCAGCACTCAACCACTGTTACATAATTTAATTTTAAATGCCAAATGTCTCTAAAAATCTGTGAGTGATGCATCAAGTGATGTTCTTTGGATGAAGCCTTTAGAGCATATGTATCTCCTCTCCACAATTCATGAGCAGGCTGAATGTCAGCCACACACTTGTGCATTTGTTAGTCAAAGCACGGGTATGACTGTGCAGGGAGGAGAGCAGGGAACATTAAAGGTAATCCTTTGGACTCAGAGCCCTTTGTCATGCCCGTGGTATCGCTGTCTCGCATCTCTCCTATTTAAAGCATCTATATTTTATGAAGCACTAACAGACAAACAAACAAACCAACTTATAGACCACAAAGTCAGCATTAGTCTCCAAAAGCAGCCATTGGAAACATGAGGTATTGCAGGATCTGCTCTCTCAATACAGTGATTCAGTATCTTTAAAACCCTAAAGCTCCAATATGTATTTTAAGGCATCAAGTCTGAAGCATGAGATATTTGTACATGGCAGAATGGAGGCTGTTGCTGTCATCGACCTGGAAGGATTACTGTTGGAAACAATCACCACACTGAGGTTACTCCTGCAGTGTCTAACTGACCTACCTGATGAGAAGGTACAATGATGCAAACTGCTTTGGGTGTGTAAGGGTTCTACATTATCGAAACTTTCTTTCAAGACATGTATACTAGAGGGGAAATGAAATATTATTTTTCATTTTAATTTTAATTTCATCCAACTCTTTCTCCACTCCCCCTTCACCACTCAGGAAAAAGAGAATGAAGCCCCTTAGTCATACCTGCCCCAACCCCCCTCCCGTCCAGCTTCTGGATTAGGTTGAACATTTTCAGTAGCAGAATATTATTGCAGATGATTTGATCTTTTGCTCATTACTAACTGTAACCCACCATACTCAAACCACAGCTTCCCATCTTTTAATTCTCCTCCTGTGTTGCAGAGGGGAAGGAGCTGCCCCTGCTGGCAGACTGCAATTCCTAGGGGACACAAGTGATTAAAAATGTAACTGGCTCCTTGCTGTTTTGCTGTCCTGCTGGAAGAATTATTTCAGGGGCATTCAAAGGAAGGAAGGCATGGTTCCATAAACACAGGATCCTTAATGAAGCTTGTTAAATGATAAGCAATTTTCTGCATTGATGAAATAGAATAGCTTGACTTTTTTATTGCAAAGGGAGCTGTTCCTCCTGAACGTTTCCATTCCGTCTCTGAGGCACTCGGGCAGCGACTCCCCATGAGCTACAACTGAAGGAGTGATGATCACATCACGGAAAAGAGACTCAGAGACAGTGAGAAATGAGCAGCTGGAGGTATGTGGGGTGTGGGACAGGGGAAGGAGGATTCCCCAAGTGGGTCACTGGCAAAGCAGATGCCTTATACTGCACCTCTGTCCCCAGGCCCAAATGCCATTGCTGCTCCCTGTTCTTGCTGGCTCCACTCCCCCAAGGGAACAGCAGGTTGTGGGACCTGCTGTGCTCTAAATGCGGGCCAGAAATGATAATTTGTTTTAAAAAACAAAACAACTTTTCCAAGTCAATTCATTGTTGTGCTTACATGGCAGAATCAACAGCTCTAGTTCTAAGAGAAGAAACAGCCCACAGTTCAATAAATATGAGAGAAATCTAAGGCCAAAGAAAAAGATCAGCTACTGAGGGAATGAATTTCATGTTTCCTCTCCTGCACAAATGGCTACCAGAGTTTTCTGGACTCCAGTGCATGTTCATGTGCTTGGTTGGATTAGCTTTTCTGAACAGGCCTAAACCAAAGCACTATAGAAACATTACCAAATCAAAGAAGTTAAATTACTGTGGTTATGACAATTTCAGTAAACACCATCCCAACACCTAAAGATCTTTAATGCACAAGAGAGTTCAAGGGAAAAATAAGTAAAATCTGTTTTATCACCTATAAAAGTCAGAAACAATAAACTATCCTGCAACCATTCTGTATCTGGTAACTTGCATTAAAATATATATAAAGTATACTGGGAACTGAAGCAATGCTTCAGTTCAATAAAACGAATATAATTAAAGAGAAAGAATCCTGTTTTTCCTCTGCTTGCAATTTCAAATGAGAGCTTCTTAAAACTTGTGACCATTGCTGGAATCCAATTCAGAACCTCAGCTTATCAAATTCCCTGCTCTGGCACCATGCCTTTGAGGTATTATGAAGCGCTCCTCATCAAAGCATCCCTGTCTATAAATGCTCCCAATTACTTTAAAGAGCAGACACCCCATTTTGAAACTGGCAAGTGTTCCCTGTGAATCAAAATGGAGTCACCAAACGTGCAGCCTTCAGCTCGTGCTTCTTTTCTTGAAAGGTAACAAAGGAAAACGTGTTAGCACAAAAAGTCTCCTTGTAACATTTTAAACTTGAAAAGCTTTGCAGGACAGCACACCTACACAATGCCACCGCTTTTTGGGACACTATAGACCACACATCCTATCCTGTAATTCATTCTGGGATAGGGAAACTGCCAGGCTAATGAGCTCTCCTGCAGCCTCTTCCCCTGCAGGTGCTTCCCTGGAAGCACAATCTTAAATCAGACACAGCAATGCCAGATGTAACCTCCTGAACAAACTCCATCCTCACTCCCACTGTGGTCTGAGCAAGCCACGGCAGCACGAACGTCTGACTTTGATGAAAGCACAAACTTCTTTTCCATTCAGACAGTGGAAGCCAAATTAATTCCTCAGCTTCTTTAATGCTGAGAGCCACATCTCAGGAATTCAATACAAGAACATATTAATCTCTCTGATAGGTGATAGTGCAATATATTACTGATGGGGGAGCCAGCACGTCAGCACTGTGATAGTGACCCTGACCAGCAGATGACTGAATGGGTAAGGAGTGAAGGAGCTGCTTTGGCTTGAAGGCACAGCTCAACTTTGGCAGGCAGTCCTTCACTCTTGCCCCACTGCTAATTTTCCAACGCATTACTTTGTGGCATGGGTATCCAGGAAACCTCATTATGAAGGTATGTGACAGCCCCTGATAATACATGTCTGTGGCAAAATAATTGATCCCTCTTTGCAGTGGTGATCTTTAATGCTCACGGGGCTTGGGAGGCTATTAGATGGCAGGCACCCTTTGATGGTCTCCAGCATAATACGTTACCAGACAGCAATGTGCCACCTATCTATCACTTACAAAATAATGTCATCCCTCAAAAAGGGCCTGGCAGTTGGGGTTAGCAGAGGAAGGGGGTTTAATTATATTTGTGGATGAAAAGGTGTCCTGAGAAAAGTGTGCAGCCTGATTATTTATTGGCTGTTCAAAAGCACTCAGCACAATATAAGGAAAACATCAGGCTCTCCAATACGGTAGTTCACATTGCTGTTACAGACTCTAGCCTTGAAATCAAGTTCAAGCTGAAGAACAAAATTACCTCTTACAATATGTGGTTTACTTCTGAAAATGAAAAGGGTAAGAGACGTATTAGCAGTGTTGGCATTAGTGGAGGCAGCTGTTTTTAGATATTTGGTATTTCAGGGATGTGAGTTTAGCATCATTACTAGAAGTACAGCTTACTATATTCCTCTGCTAACTTTCCAACAGTGAGCAGATGGTTACCCTATTACCAACCATTTGCATTTAACATATTGTAATGATTTATATACCACATGCCACCGAGCAAAGTAAAAACAGTTGATGGTAACTAATTAGTTGAGCGTGAAGATGTATATCTCAATGTATAGATCGTTATTGTGATAAAATTTAATCTTCTTGGTTGTTATTAGGTTTAATGTGTGGTGCAATATAAATATTGGTGGCAGTTAAATGTGAACCTTCATGTCACTTTACCATTGAGACAGTATTGGTATCATTAATATTTCCACCAGCACTCCTCTACATGCCATTTTATGAATGATGGTGACAGAGGGTAGATTATAATAATCCATTATTCTTCTCTACCAATCCTTCTTAAGTGTATTTCAAGGTATTTTATAAATCCTAATGTATCAGATAATTGGCTCACATTACAGGACAACGCACATCTGGAGAGGGTGGAAGTGGGAATGCTGCTTAGCAGAGAGGAAATATGCTCAGAGCTACCATAAACACAGAAATGGATTTAAGAGAGAGAATGAAAAGAATCACAAGGTCTTCAAGGGAGTTTGCAAGGAACAAGCTGACAACGACTGACATTGACATGAACATCAAAGTCAGAAGATAGACTCAAGGGTTCAGAGGAAGAACATAATTTTAGAAACCTGCCCTCCACAACTAGAACATGGGCAGGTCTATATGCCATATATGGCACTATCCATGGTATGTCCCAAGGCCTGATCAGATGTAACCTACAGTATGAAGCTATGGATTATAAGCCTTATCCTGAAATGGTTTTTGTTCACTTCTTGGCTTATTTCAAAATGGTAGCCACCACTCCAGATATGTCAAAATAATTCACAGTGAAGTACAGCTGGGTTACTCCAGAGTATAGCAGCATTTCCAGCATAAAAGTCTGGATGAACTGTTATGTGAACAACCAGTACTGGTGACAGACTGACTCTAAGGCTCCAAGGACTCAGTATGCTGCAAAAATTACAGGTGGTCTCATTTGGGAGTTGCAGTATGTCAAGAGGTTCAGCAGTTCCTGCTCCCTCCTAATGTCATTAAGACACCTCTTGCTACTCAGCATCCTTTCATTTCTACCATATCCCACAAATTTCCAGGGACACAGCCTGTTCTCCTGCAAAGGGCTGCAGCCAGCATTCTGCTTTCCTGAATGCGTCAGCAGCCAGACTTTCTCTTGGGAATTCGACCTGCAGTGTAACTCTTCGGCTCCTTTTCCCTGACACTATTGCTGCCTGCTAAAATTGCAGCATTGCCATTTGTTTCTGGAACTCTTTCCTTACTTTTCCATGAACTAGATGATAATCTGTAGGAAAGTGTTGAAAACTTCCCCTGTAGCTCAGCCCAGTTAACGATATGCTTCACCTGTGTTTTACTGAGGATTTTTCACCAGAGCCTGCTGTGATCAAATAGGGACTGTGATGATTCCCTTTGAGCACAGGTCACTCGTACTGCTGAGGCACAAAAATCCCTGAGGGGGACTCCAGAGGGAATGGCAGGAAGGGTCCTGCAGACCCCACATAATGATACCATTAGACCTTGACCTTTACTAATTCACTTTCTATTTCTGAATAGGTGTGACTGTATCACTGGACTTGACAGAACTGGCTGCTTTACATCAGCTCTATCATATGGATAAGAGCACACTGACATGTGTGAGTTTTTTTCTCATTTTTTTAAACAGAAGCTGGGATAGCCTTCTGACTTCTGTCCTCCCTCCCTCATTCCCCCCCCTTTTGCTCCTTCTGTCCTCCCTTCCTTTTCATCACCTGTTTTCCCTCATTCCTCCTACATGCATTTGAAGCTCAGTGAGTTAATAAGAGTAACTTCACTCAAATAACTCCTGACTTACAGGATGGCATCTGAAACGAGTATCAAGACTGGTCTCTTGTTTCAATACTTAACTTCTAACATACAGGGAGTGATACAGAGCATATCATGGCACCATTCTAAAGGGAAATGGGAGGAAAGGCAGTGGGGTAACTCTCTTAATTTCAGATATTTCCCTAGATCACAGGTGAATGATGTGTTATTTATTACAGCTACAAAAAAAACCCCAAAACAAAACAAAAGAGAGAGAAGGATCACCTGTCAAGAGAAAGGACGTGGATATTTTGGGTTCAGCTACTACTTTCTGAGGCACTTCACACACTGAGAAGTGTTGAGGAAGAATCAGCATCTAAGCAGATGCAGTCAGGTACTGACATGAACAAAACTAATGGCAGGCAATATCACAGCACTGGTACCCATGGAAAGGATCAGAATGCAAACTTAAAAAAATCCCAAACCCACGCCTCAAAAATGGTAGCTCCTATTACTTGTGATATAGTTGGAAATTTTTAAACTTTTAATGTGATAATATGTTGTACCACTCCAGCTTTAACTTCAACCAGAAGGACATCCCTGTGCCAGGAATCAGTTGTATATGTGATACAGGAGATCCTTAAGCTTATTTCAGTGTTTGCATTAAATTGCACTCTTTTCAAATGAAAAGCTTAAAAGGAAAGAAAGTTTCTGCAAGCTATTGGAATCACTGAATTTATTCAGAAGGCTCTTTGGATTGCTTCTCAGCATACAAAGCAATACAGAAAGAAAAATCCTCATTTCTTTCATCAGTATTTTTATCTCTATTCCTTTAATATTCAATGGCAAAATGAATTATACTACAAAAGGTTTGGTGCCTCTCCTCAATAACCCTGATCCTGCATGATACTGAGCTTCCTTGAAAGACAGCTGGGGGACATCAGTAGGGAAATACTTGATGTCTTGCAAAAAAGAAAAGATGACCAGATGCTAATGAGCTAAGTGATAAGTGAAACCTGGGGATTTAAACCCACTGATTAATTTCAAAAGCATATAGCAGAATGAGGGTCCTAGACAGCATTCAGACTCCACTGCTCTGCTCCCCTTCCAGCCACTGTGACTGAGGCCACACTGAGCTGATGGCCAGGACTTCTGCCATCAGGATGCAGGGGAGAAATCAGTATTATCCAAACACAGGCACCAGTAAAACCCGCCCAGGACACCTGTACTGAGTAAACCCCTGGAGATGGTTCATGTGTGAATAAACACCACGACCATTTATTTCAGCTCCTGATGACCCTAGATTTGCTTACAGAAAATGAAGGACCATTCTCCTTAGTGACATACTACAGTAGATATATTAAAAATGCAAAAATTGCACTTGGGACTTACAGATCAATTGACATGCTCTTAAATACATGCTTCTTTTTCTTTCCTGTTCTCTAATGAGTTTATAATTTAATCAGAGAAACTTCTAGATTCCCTCCAAATACTAGTGAAAATCTCAAAGGAGAAAAGCTGCTTATGCAAGTGTTCCTGTAAAACAAAGAGTATTCAAGTATGGTAAATAACTACCAGAGTCAAGAATGGTATCCAGTTTTTTGTCTCCTTAAAAGCTTGAAGCCTACATATCTTAATATTCTGAGCTGAACATCAATTAAAACATTTTCTATTATAAATAAGACTACAGCATTTCTATAGATTATAACTTCCCTCGGGCAAAGCTCTGCTTTTGAGGTAAATTACAGAGGGACATTATCATATAGTGTTGCCAAGTATATGACAGAGTAACATAGACATTTACTCCAATTAATCCATCCACAGACTGCACCTGCAGAATAAGGCAGAGGATGGCACCCAGCAGAGCCCAGCCTGCCTGGTGGAACCGTGTGCCTGAAGCTGCAGGGTGAGCTCCCACTCAGGGCAAGGCCCTCACCCACCCCAATCCACCACAGCCTCAGGAGCAGTTCAGCCTCACAGCCGGCAGGAGCAGCGGGCTGAGCAGGGAGACAAAAAAGCCCCAACCCCCTCAACAGCAAATATATTTTCCTTCAGATTAATTTATTCAGATGCTGAGATGGATTTGAATTTCGAATAGATAAAGTGAGAGCAAGGAAGTGCTAAAACTGAGGTTACTTTACATTTGTGTATTGTGAGTTAGAGGTTTCTATTGCAGCTGGGGCTGCAACCGCAGCTGAGACGCGGTCAGAAAACCCTGGGGCTTAAATACAGAAGCTTCAAGGCGAGAAGAGTGTAAAAATAAATTCCAGAGGGCTTAATAGCATTGTGCAGAGACTGGATATTCTGGTGTCACAAAGAAACTGGTGGCTCTTAGATCAAAACCTAATCATTCAAAAGCAATAAGAGCCTTTGTTTTACCCAGCCAGTCATTCTGTTACCCACTGGGACGACAGATTTTACAAGCATCCTGAATTACAGTTAATTTACAGTGTATAAATGTACATGTCACTGACAATATAGAAGTTAGAGCAAAACTACTTTAAAATTAACATGGTTAAACCTTCAGCAGTCTGATCCAAAATCTGCTAGGAACCTTGAGCTTGACTTCAAAGGAATTATTATCAGCATTTTAGTGAACTTCAACAAAAATAGGTTTAAAACTGGGAGCTGTACCTCACTGCTTATTACCAGGACTGTCCTTCCCATGGAATTGAACACAGGTAGAGCCTGCAGACGGGTCAGGCCACCTCTGCAGGCAGCACAGTGAAAGAAACCTTCCTGAGGCTGCGGCACAGGGCACCCTCTGATCCTCTGCAGCAAGGCCAGATGAGGGGAAAATGTCTGCTCTTTCTTAGCTTCCCATCTCAGAAGACTTTATTTATGCATTAGTTGACCTTTCTAGCTGTTAGGACCATCTTGCTTCAGCAGTTAATTAACACAAGTGCCATAATTTAATACAGTTAATGCTACTTTATGCCCTTTAATGTACCTTCCATTAGTGATATTATTGTAGTATTACCCTGTAAATTAAAATAAGATCAAGAATAAGAGAGGCTCTCTTTAATTAAGGTACTGGCGCACTGCATCGTCCATTATTCACTAGAAAAAATCACCCTGATTTAGTGAAGCAGACCATCAGTAAGTCAGAATTAGTTCATGTGGATTATTAGGTTTCTTGAATAATGGGAGCACAATGGGGCTGAAATTGCTAACAGCCACGTTTCCTTTTTTTCATCACCTTAATAAATACACAATGGAAGTGGTAAATTGAAGAAGAATAAACAGGTGGTAATAGAGGAGAAAAGGCATTCATTGAGAGGTTTTCATCTCTAATGCAACATACATCAGGCTTATTTCACACCAAAATGCAAAGTAATGACAAAACAAACCTATATTAAGTGGGCAAATCTCCTGCCTATAATTCATTGTGAAGTATTAACCACCACATAGTCCTGTATATTAAACATAGTGGCTTTAAGATAGATGCTTTTCACTGTCATTGATGCTTAAAACACAGTGTGAAACAAATTACATTTTATGCTGCCTTTAGAAATATGCTATTATGAGCTTTGGTGATTTTAACTGTATTTGACCTACAGGTTATGTTTTTCAGAAAAAGGAATAGCTTTAAAGTGGCTGCCAGCATCTTTCATCCACTACATGTCAAGCTCCTTGGTAACCTCCTGTCTTCATGGAATAATCTAGTCTAGTTTTACCAAATTTATATAAATAGCTGGGTCTCAAAGCCCAGAATATGAATCTTGGTAGCAAAACAAAATAATTTTGTAACAATTTCCAGTATACATTCTCAACTAAGGAGCAAGAGCTGGAAAGCTCAGCTGAACTGGAAACTGTGGCACAACTACCCTGGTAACCTTTGCTTCCCTCCTCTGGTTCCCATGCTCAGGCCATGCCAGGGAACATGCTGGGATTGTTGATTGGGAGACTCTGGTGGGGAGAGGCCATAAAGTTTCTGGAAGAGACAAAAAATACCTAAAACTAGGTAACAGTGGGCTCATTGCAAGTTACAATGGGTGCAACTGAACAACCAGGGGCTGTGTACTGTAGCCCCACAGCTGCTCAGCAGCAAGCAAGCCATAAAGCCTTTAACAAGGAAGGCTCACTAGTTATTGAAGGAAATGGCACCAAATCCCAAAAGAGCTGTTCTTCTCATTAGCAGAAAAGTGATAAGAATTCACATGAATCTAATCTACTGAGGTACTATTACACATCAGATACTTCTTTTAAAGTACATGTCCAATTACTGCAGCATTTAGACAACAAGCATCAGCATCAGATAAGTTCTCTGTACAGTCATGCTTCATTTCTACAGATAATTTTTCACAAGATTGGTGAGCCCCAGATGTGCTCAGAAGGTTTCTGTTTCTAATTTGCATGCAATGCACTTTTTTTTAATCCTTCAGATGCTTTCTTTGATAAAGTAATGATAATCTAATTGAAGTCAGACTAAGCTCCTAATGGGTTTTCAGACAGGGAACAGGCTTTCCTTAAAGCCTAAGGACCTACAAATCCTGAGCTTTGATATGATGCCTCTGATGATGTAGAGCTAACCCATGTGGAGGGAGCCCAGAGGAGAAAATATACACATTAAATAGGTGCTATTTTTCTGTATTGAGGCTAATTTTACCAAACTATTTCAAACAGTATCTTAAGCTGTTCATGATCCACTTAGCCCTCCCAAGAGACTTCAGAAAAATAATTTACAATGTAACTAATGAGCATTGCAAGAAGAATTCTTAAAACAGCAACATTTATTTTAGGTTTTCAAATGTTAGACTAGTAATTTTGTACGTGCGGATATATAGTTGATGTGGACACAGAAGACTGTAACTGCATGTTAAATCTTCAGTCCTAAGAAATGTATTTTGATGATTTTGATTTTTACTACAGGAGTAATAGAAAAACAGTCAGCACTGTTTTATATAATCACTATTTTTTTCACTCAGTTCTGAGTCTGCAAAGAAAGTCCCTGACCTTCCAAGATAGATTAGCTTTTCTGTTTGTTTTGATACTTAGATTCTCTTGAAGAAAAAAGTTTTTTAAAAAGGAAGTCTTAAACCCCTTATAGGAGAAACAGAGAAGGAACAAAAGATATATCAGACTGGCAAGTGAATTGCTAATAGAGGTGATCCCACTTATTTCCTCTGAACAACTTGGCATCTGAGACCCATACAAAGGGATCATTCTCCTGCTTGAGGGCATCAGTCAATTGCTAGTTTGAGCTGGGAACAAAATTTCTGATAGGAATGTCACTGCAGTTATTATTTTTGGAACTACAGCACTTGATACCAGCCACCACTTGCCCTAGAGGTAACCATTTGTCTTGAACCCAGCTGAATAATCATCTTTGTTATATTCAAATCAGCCTATCTAAAACACTGTTGGGTTTTTTCCATTTTAATTCAGCTTCTCTGCATTTCAGAGCTAATTAAAGTAGAAGGAATGGGCGCTAATCTCTGCTGCTTTCCTTGTCCACAGCCAGACCTAGTGGGAGGGGTTTGGGCAAGGGTTGCTGTATCGACCACAGCTCACATTAGAGACCTGGAAAGGTCAAATGATAAAACAGAATCTCTGTTTTTAGTTAACTGCCATTGGATCAGACTCCAACTACATAAGAGAAGAAAGTGTTTGACTGCTAGGGTGACTTCCTGAGTCAAGACCTTAACCGTCCTGCCTGTGAGACCCAGGGCTCCAGATCCAAGGTGAGTGCCAGCAAACACCCAGAACTTGTGCCACTGAGTCAGAAACTTCTGGTATGACAGCAGTGGCCTTCAGTTGAGCCAGATTTCCAGTGAACACTGGCAGAAAATATCATCTTCTTTGGGGAAATAAATAGTTTTGAATACCTTTTCAAATCAAACACATATGCCTGTTTCTAAAGTTATATATTCTCTTACCTTCCGTATACCCTTATGTCTGAAATTGCATAAAAGTAGCGCGCCAGGTGTTGCTCATCAACATATATTTCACCAGTTGCTGGCCTAAGCAGTCTTATCCTCAGATCTGTGATGGTAAAGAAATCTCTTAACTTCTTGGTGGTATCAAGCTGGCCATAAAGAGAAGCCATGTTATGAAGCCGAGGTCCAGCAAAAAAAGCAAATCTATCTTTGATTTCAAAGTGGATTATTTTGCTATTTGTCATGTACCCAGTAGAGTATTCCTCTGTGCAAATGATTTCTAGGACTGTGTGCTGTGATAAATCCCTCACTGATTTTGGATCCATGTGAAAAGCATCTAAGCAGTCTGTGGCATAGTACTGGTAGGGCTGCCACGTTCGTCCATAGTCGAGTGACTTCTCCAGGATCATTTGGTCTGGACGGCCAGATTCAAAGGTGATGACTATGTTATCTGTAAGCTCAATGGTTTTGTTCCAGGAGAGGGTAATATTAACATGAAGAGGCTTTGGATAGTCCTTCCAAGTTGTGGACTGCCAAAACGTGGAGGGATGTCTTCCTTCCAGATCGAACATCAGTTCTGGAGGATGAGCCAGTTCTTGGGTACTTGCATCACATTCATTATTGCACATGTAGGGATTCCCCTGGAAAAGAGCAAAGCAGTGTTACAAGGGGCACCACAGAGGTGAGTGTGACACACAAGATGTTTCTTGACTGAGGACCGCTTTTTCCAGGAGGAAAGTCAAGAAAGAAAAAACAAATGCCTGCAAGTAATAACTTTATCTTAATGGGATTAATCCTGGCTGTTTTACCTGTTGAAGTACAAACACAACATAGACAGCACCCTTGTGTCTGTACTGTAGACATTTTTCTTAATATATGTTAAGAAAGGAACAAATTATTTTATCCTGAACAACTTGGACCAGAGATTGAGTCACAAAAGACTAAGAATGGTATGCAAGTCTCTAATAGCTCAGTAACTCCAACTCTTGTTAGAAAGATTCAGCAGCCAAAGAGGATATCTTTTTGAAACAAGCATGTTCCTCAGAGCTATGCCCAAAAAAGTACTAATTTTTAGGGCAAGTGTATTTTGTTAGCAGTGCAGCCTGTGTGTATTCAGTATGAGCCAGTATTCAGTACACTTTCAAGTTTCCTTTCACCCAGGTGGGAAATTTATCATGCTTAACCAGCTCAACACTGCCCTGCCTTAAAACATTTGCACTTGCAACCAAAAGCCATTAGAAAAACAGTGCTCTGTCAGCTCTGGGACTTGATTCAGGTATCTGCCATCTTATTACAGGGTACCAAAGTACTTCAGAAAAGACTTTTCATGAGGCACCAGGTTCAATTTATCAGGACAAGATAATCCAGCACTTGATTAGGTGGGAGATGTCAGTGGCTCCAGCTGGAACACTGCCAAGGTGGCAGGAGCTCTGAACTGAGGGTTGAGTTAAAAACAGCAACAAAAAAAGCTTGCCAATAGTGCACAGTTTTTTACTGCTGCTTGTCCTCTGGAGCAAGGTGAAAGTGAATTATTCTCTTTCTGGCCTTTTGATGCATTAACTTTCACACTACAATCTTCTGCTTCTTCACAAAGGCTATTTTGTCTGCAGATTGGGGATATCTTGCGGCAGTTGCCAAGATATCAGACCCTGTAGGCTGCACTGAATCACGTATATCTAATTTCAGCTTTCAACAGTACGTTAGTATTTTGCTACTTGTTCATTCTGTGTTTGTTCCAGAAAGCAACTGCTCCTCTCTCTGTCCTTCCCTCCACCTGATACTCAGATTGTGGAAGAAGCCTCTATTCACTGACAGTCAGCACTGCTGGGGGAAAATATGCACATGCCTATACGTGGCAGAGCTCGATGAGGTCATTAATGTAGGTGTTATTGTCATTACTCAGAGCTCCCTGCACCTGCCCTGAAAAGAGAACAAGCTCTGGCATGATGATCAACCTTTTCTTTTCTTGTAATTGCAGTTATACTTCTCTCCATCTCAAAGCCTGAGGGCAATGAAGTGACTCACTGCTATCCAGTGTGGAAACAAGTTTCAAACATGAGTTTCCACCTTGGCCACTGCTCTGCTCCTTGATATACTCCCACAAAACACAAGCAAAAGAACTTCTGCACTCACTTTGACCTCCCCACTGGCAACTTCCTCTTACCTGGGTTGGAAAATGCTATTTTCTTTCCCTTTGTTGTTAATACAGCTGAAGTGCTAAAACTGACAACGACTGACTGGGACTGGAAGTTAGGGAAAAAAACTACATGACAACAAAAAGGGTTATTTGAAAACCAGCTGTAACTGGAAATACTCTGCAAAATTTTGTCTATAATCTGTTACAGCTCTGATTTCAAGCTCATGGTTGCTATTTCTATGCCTTCCTTTTGAATAAAACAGTGAAAATTAAAAGTAAGCTTCAAGCAGGAGAGAGAAAACACAGAATTTTTAAATATTTAAGCTCCATTTAATATACCAATGGTAGAATCTGCTAACTTACCCAAGCCTATTTTCCTCAGGGAAAATATATATATTGTGAAATCTGTAAAATTCCAGATCCTTTGGCTATATGTAAATATCAGTTTATCAGAAGATGCTCAGATTGCGTAAGTCACACCTGTCTGCGGTTGCCCAGAAAAATCTGATCACTTAGATCTGTGTACCTCTAATCTATATGCTTTATGCTTCTGCTTTGGCAAAAGCAACTGCACTGGGCAGTCACAGGTATCAAAACCCAACAAATAAATGCTCCTGTGCAGCCAGACAGGTGCATTAAGCACTGCTGAGGGATGGCTTTAGTTTCCTGCTCCAAAAGCAACCGCTGAGTCTGTTGTGACTCTTTGTGCTAAAAACTAAAGCTACTCTGATCCCTTAGTCCCTGGATGCTGGAGGAAGCATGTTTCATGACTTCCAGCAGCTAACCCAGGTTGTATGGGATGTAGTGTTTGTTTCTCTCTATTGGTTGATTTATTTTACTCCCTTTGCCTTTTATGTTTTAGCAAAAGCTGAGGTGCCAACACAATCAGAGAATAACTGGGAGAGGATGTTCTAAAAACACTCAACAAGCTAAATAAATACAGTATGACAGGGAGAGCTGGCAGCCCTAGCTTGCAACTGAAATGCAGTCCACAACCCTGTGCACAGAGCTTTTTAGGGAAAGATGAAATTATTCCCGTTAATGGCAGAGTATTTTGAGAAATAGGTCAGAATCCCAGTGCTGTCCTGTCCTGCACCTGAAACTCTTCCCAGTGGTAACAGCAGTGTCACAACCTGCTACTGAAACACTGGGATAAGGACATCACTGCAAATGAGAATCCTAATGAAAGCTTCAGGTATATCCTCACCAATGAACTTAATTATTCTTTTGATTTTATGGCACAGAATTCTCTTTTAAGAGGTGAATGATTTGATGACACCAAAATAACCTGTGTGGAGTTGAAGTGCTTGAAAGTAAAAATTAGGAGAAAAAAATCTAAGCTGATTATAAGACAATAAAATAAGTGTCCTGAATTCTAAAAGGAGGAGAGAAATTATGAGTTTATGTAAATTCCCCTCTGTCTACTGAAATGGCAATTGCTGATGTAATTTTGAAATATTTAATATAATTATTGCTTCAGAGGCTTGGAATCAGGTTCCCTTTTTCTCTGCTTGCAACTTGGCTTTTAACTGCTTCTAATTAATCTTAAATGTAATTTGCATGGTAAGTCATACTTACATTACCAAAACAGTCTAAAAGGGTCTTACTCTACACAAATGTCCCTCAGTACATGTTATTATGAAAACAATTAATGTAACTGAGATTAGTTACATATTTTAATGCCTTGATCTCTATGATAATCCTCTTTAAGACTTTTGTCTCAGTAAAATGAATACAACAAAAACAAACTTTGTCCAATTTGTGAAAACCAAGCTCAGTCTGTGTTGGGGCCATCTGAAGGATCAGACCTTTCGCATCTCTAAGTAATTTTGTGCCCAGCAGGCAGCTGTAAATAGATCTTCATTTAAGCCTTCCAAGACACAGCTCTTCAGTAGAACAAGGTGGAAAATATTTACAACTTTTCAAAATGATATTTAAGCCATTAAGAGAGTTTTAAATAATTAAATACTGATAAATACTTCTAAACACTTTAGTGCCAATTAGCATAAAAGGTAGCTGAGTCTTTCCCAACACCACAACCATGACCACCTAAAACAACCCACTATTTTCCTGTACAGCAATGGGAGATTGATATTAGATAGCTCCTTGCAGGCAGTCAAATTAAGCTGCTATTAATTTTGGTTTTGGCTGCTCATGGAATTGAAAATATTACTGAAACTACTGCCATGGTCTAAGTGTTGGTTTTAGGAGGAGGTACCTGATTTGCAGGCACAGTGAGGACATGTGGCCATATCACATGACTCCACCACATTCAGCCCAGGCTGGAAAAAGCAGAGTTACCTGAGAAGTTCCTGAGTAGGCTGACTGGGCCCAGTAGGTTTCCCCTCAACTAGCTGGCTTTAGTTTGTTTTAGGACACAGCAATGTCTCTCTGAGCCAGGCAGCTTGAACTTTTATACCGGTGTTGGAGGTGCTCTGCAAGTGTCCCTGGCTGGGACACTTGCTTTTTCCCACAGTTTTTTCCTTGCAAACAGCCTGAGCCCTAGTCTGCATTTACTGCCTAGGGTTAGGGTTACACCTATGGTTAGGGTTCCAAAAACCACAAAGCCCAGAGCTCCAGGCACACTGCAGCTGCAAAAGGCATCCCAAGGGAAACATAAAATTGCCACAACAGGCCTTCCTTCACCTGGCCTTGCTCCCCCTGGGCA